ATATATATATATATATTTATATATGAATGGTAAATATGATATTTTTAAATTTTTGGTTGGACACATATGTGAAATAAAAAATAAAAAACAAAAAAACAATAACCTCCTTTCAGTTGGACGTCTCCATCTCATCGGGTAGGGGTTTTGTTCGATTAGGCTCTCTCTCTCTCTCTCTCTCTCTCTCTCGCCAATCACGTAATGATGGCGGTTGCCGCGTCCTCTATCTTCATCGTACTCGGCCCCGCGGCTCCCCTCGCTCTTGCTCCATCGTTCGTTGTTGTAGTGGATCGGCGCCCCTCCCCGGCGGCTCCCCTTCGCTCCTCCTCCTCCTCTATCGTTCCTTCTTGTAGTGGCTCGGTCCCGCGACTTTTCTCGCTCCTGTCCACATCGGTTGCACCCCCGCGATCGAGAGATGGAGGCCCCATGGAGCTGGAGAGAGCCGCGCGTGGCAGGAGAATGGGGGGCCGACGCCGCGCCACCACATGAGTACGTGAGAGACCGACCATATTGCGTGGTCCCGGTGCAACGGCTGCGGCTTAAATCCCAGTGAAAGCTAGAAAGGGGCTCAAAAGGCCGATGTAGGGAAGCGAGATCGAGGCGGTGTTCGATGCCTACAACCTCAACCCGCAGCGCTTCCTCAACGAAGTCCTCAATGCCGTCGGCGACATGGTTGACGGAGCCTTCGATTTCTGCCTCCATTTCCGTCTTCGTCTCGTCCTCTTCCCCTTTTATTTCCCATTTTGCCCGATGTGTGTCTTTCACCTTCGTCACCGATCATTTGTCTGTTTTCTTCCAGGCAAGCACCACAAATCACTGCCCTTGGCGCCGATCGGTCTGAGGAGCTGGCCAAGGTAAGTTATTTTAGTGCGAGTTTAACCCTATCTTCTTGTTGATCCTGTACAATGTCCACTTTCTATTGTTGCATGATATTTGATTTGTTTCTTTTTTAATGATCCTTTAGGAATTGTGAAGACCACGGGCCAAATTACAAATTACTCATGTAACTAGCTATCTTTATTATTTCGATTCATATATTTTCAAAAATTATATTAAGATTTTTATATTTATGAAAGTAAAATAATGAAATCGTTATATAGGATTAAAAAGATAATTTCACAAGATTAAAAATCAAGAAAAAGAAAGAAGTTTTATTGGAGCAACAACGTAAAATATTTCACTTCGTAAATATACAAATGTAACTTTTGAAAGTATAGGGATCGAAATATTAAATATAACTAATTACATGAGATAATATGTAATTAGACCAAGACCATATGATATTATAGTGATTTTGAACTTAATTACATTGTCATTTGTGCTTAGAGACAGTGTTACTTAGTTCGATTAAATATCGATTTTATTAAGTATCCGTTGAAGAAAGAGGTCGATCTTGGTTTTGCAAGAACATATTGTTTACTGAAATTTTACAGTCTGATAAACCATTAGGATGTTTAGGTTCATTTGGTAGTTTGCTGCTGTTCATATCCTCTGATCTTCTAAGGACATTTAAGCAACTTGTCTGGTTTTTTTTTTACTTTTTATTAGTTTTGGTAGCTTGGACACTGTGAGATTTGGTAATTAATCATGTATTTCTTCACTAAAACTTTGGTGTTCTTGGTTGCTTCTTCTATTATTTATATTGTGAACTAAAATAAAAATAATGTGATATTGGCTTATTGAAAAATAGTTGGAAAGTAATTTGCATATACATGATGATTGTCATTAGTTAAGAAAGCAAGATCATACATCAAATCAGGCTGAGGTTCTCAAATTAATATCTATTTCTCATTTACTTTAGAGTTTTGTCTCTCATAGTATCATGAAATTTTGATTATTGACATTCTTTTTATTAACTGATAACTAATATAGATATGTTATTGATCACACATCTATACGACTTGGGAATCATCATTAGTTAAGAAAGCAAGATCATACATCAAATCCGGCTGAGGTTCTCAAATCAATGTGACAAGTTTTTCAGTGAGGTAAATGTTGTTCGTTCATATCTATTTCCCATCTACTTCAGAGTTTTGTCTCTCATAGTA